TGATGGTGATGGTCGTGGTCATGGTGATGAAGCTGGTGGTGATGATGGTGATGGTGGTGATGATGGTGATGAAGCTGGTGATGATGATGGTGATGGTGATGGTGATGGTGATGGTGATGGTGATGAAGATTGTGGTCCCTCCCCTGCTCCCTCTCCCTCTGGATGCCTCAGATCTATGCCCCAGCAACTGCACTCCTAGGCATTTACCCAATGAACCCCAAAACACTGATTCAAAAGGAAACCTATACCCTCCTGTTCACTGCAGCACTATTTACAGTCGCCAGGCTGTGCAAACCACCTGGGTTCCCCAGAACAGATGAGAGGACCAGAAAGATGGGGTCTGTACACAGAGTGGAATACTATGCAGCCATCAAAAGGTAGCCCCATGCCAGTTACACAGCCTAGGTTCCACAAAACAGGTGAGCAGATCGGGAAGATGTGGTCTCTAGACACTGTGGAATACTATGCAGCCATCAAAAAGGTATATTCATGCCATTTACAGGAACATGGATGGAGCCAGAAGGGATGATGCAAAACAAAATAAGCCAGAAGGAGAAAGATCAAGATCAAGATGACGTCACTTAGAAGTGGACTATAGGGACACCAGACAAAGGGGCAGACGTTTTCTAACTTGGTGGAACCTCTTTGTGTTGAGTTAACATTTGCCTCTGCTGGTGGGTCCACTGCTCGGCAACTCAGGGCCCACCTTCTTCTGGAGCCTGATGCCACTTTCCTGTCCCTACTGCATGTCTCATTGAAGTGGACGGTGGACGGACCAAGTTGGCTTGCCCAGGGACGGGTCAGAGGAAGAGCCTGTGTCGCCACTGGCAGCTGTGACGAGGGGGGCCGTGAGCCTGCGGGTGACAGAGACTCTGAGCGAGCGGCAGGGTGTCCGCCAGGGGCCATCTGTGCCGTCCAGGGGACTGAGCATTTGCAGGAGGGACACGGCTCATGTGCTTCTCACCTGGTGACTGGACGCAGGGACTGTTTTCATGCCCGGGGACGAGTCAGAGGAAGAGCAGGCTGAGCCCAGAGGCAAACAGGGGCCAGCCAGATGGACACCACCAGACACTTGGTCACCTGCCCACGCGCAGGGGAGCTCGAAATAGAAGCAGCCCCAGGCGAGCTGGGCTGCTCAGAGCTGGGAAGGTGAGTCAGTGTCAAGGGTGGTTGGCTGTGGCCCAGGAGGCAGCCCGGGACTCGGGCTGGTGGGGATGAGCCGTCCGGGCTCTGAACACGGTGCCGCCATCTTAGCCCCCAGCGTTGGCTTTGTCGGCATCCACTGTCTGGGTCCGGGGCCAGTCGAAACGGCACCTCCCCTCGCAACGCCAACGGTGAGGACGCAGGCTGGGGAGCAGCCCTCCCTGCCCACAGAGAGGATGTAAACTCCAGCTGGATGTGCATCAGTGGATGCATGGACGAAGCCACGGTGTAGACAAGTAGTAATGAAGCTGGGGTGTAAACAAGTGAATGAAGCCAGGATACGGACAGATAGGGATGAAGCATGGTGTAGACAAGCGAATGAAGCCGTTGTGCAGACAAGTGGATGAAGCAGCCATGGTGTAGATAGGTAAGGATGAAGCTGGGGTGTAGACGGGTAGGGATGAAGCCGGGGTGTCGAAAAGTGGATGAAGCCATGATATAAACAGGTAGGGATGACGCCAGGGTGTAGACAGGTAGGGATTAAGCCATTGTGTAGACAAGTGGTTGAAGTGAGGGTATAGACAGGTAGGGATGAACCTAGGGTGTAGACAAGTGGATGAAACCATGATGTAAACAGGTAGGGATAAAGCCAGGGTGTAGGCAGGTAGGGATTAAGCCAGGGTGTAGACAAGTGAATGAAGCCAGGGTATAGACAGGCAGGGATGAAGCCAGGGTGTAGACACATAGGGATGAAGCCAGGTGTAGACAGGTAGGGGTGAAGCCGGGGTGTAGACAAGTAGAGATGAAGCCAAGGTGTAGACAGGTAGGTATGAAGCATGGTGTAGACAAGTGGTTGAAGCCATGGTGTAGACAGGTAGAGATGAAACCAGGGTATAGACAGGTAGGATGAAGCCATGGTGTAGACAGGAAGGGATGAAGCCGGGGTGTAGCTGGGGTCACCTGTTGTGCCCCCATCATGGCCCCCGCACCGTCCACACCCCACCCTGCAGGAACCCTTTTCTCCTTTCTGTGCCTCCATCTCCGCTGGCCTGATTAGCCCCAATTATCATGATGAGGTTGTTCTAATCAGTATTTTCTGACAATTTCCATTTCCTTGAGATTTTCATCCTCCAGGTAGAAGCCGCGCCCCGGCTCAGGGAGGGCGGGAGCCAGACCCTGTAGTTTAACACTCTTCCTGGTGGGACGGACCGTGCCTCTTGGGGAATCTGCATTTTCCGCCCCGCCTGGGGTTCTGCGCAGGGCCCGGTGCCTCCCGCTCACCCTCGGAGCCCCGCGGCCGCCACGGTCCTGCCCACTGCCCCCCGCACCTCGGAGAGATCCGCTTGACCCTGGAGATGTCCGCGCCGGGAGTGACCTCCCCGCTGTGGCGGCGGGGCCAACCCCACTTGGTCTCGCCCTTGCAGACATTTGATCAGCTCTTCTTATTGATGCAACCGGCTTGTGACATCATCCCGGTGTGCGGTGTTGTAATTCCACCCCCGTAGCAAGCACCGTTTTCTTGTAATTATCTGGTCACAACCATTTCCTTATAATTCAAGCTTTTTTCCCCCATATGATTTTTAATTTCCCACATGACTACAACCATCTGGTGTTTGTCTTTCTCCATCTGACAAATTTCACACAGAATCACGTTCTCCAGTTCCATCCGCATTGTGGCAAATGGCAGGGTGGCGTCCTTTTACACAGCTGCATAGTATTCCACCACGGAGTCATCTTGCTTGCCACTCTCCTGCAAATGGCAGGGTGGCGTCCTTTTACACAGCTGCGTAGTATTCCGCCACAGGGTCATCTATTCATCTCCTGCAAATGGCAGGGTGGCGTCCTTTTACACAGCTGCGTAATATTCCACCACGGCATCGTCTTATTTGTGCACCTCCTGCAAATGGCAGGGTGGTGTCCTTTTACACAGCTACGTAGTATTCCACCACGGAGTCATCTTACTTGTCCACTCTTCTGCGAATGGCAGGGTGGCGTCCTTTTACACAGCTGCGTAGTATTCCGCCACAGAGTCATCTTACTTGTCACTCTCCTGCAAATGTCAGGGTGGCGTCCTTTTCCACAGCTGCGTAGTATTCCACCACGGAGTCATCTTATCTGTCCATCTTCTGCAGATGGCAGGATGGAGTCCTTTTACACAGCTGCATAGTATTCCACCACGGAGTCATCTATCCATCTCCTGCAAATGGCAGGGTGGCGTCCTTTTATACAGCTGTGTAATATTCCACCATGGCATCGTCTTATTTGTGCACCTCCTGCAAATGGCAGGGTGGCGTCATTTTACACAGCTGCGTAGTATTCCGCCACGGAGTCGTCTTATTTGTCCATCTCCTGCAAATGGCAGGGTGGCGTCCTTTTACACAGCTGCGTAGTATTCCACCACAGAGTCATCTTACTTGTCCATTCTTCTGCAAATGGCAGGGTGGCGTCCTTTTACACAGCTGCGTAGTATTCCGCCACGGAGTCGTCTTATCTGTCCACCTCCTGCAAATGGCAGGGTGGTGTCCTTTTACACAGCTGCGTAGTATTCCATCACAGAGTCGTCTTATTTGCCCACTCTTCTGCGAATGGCAGGGTGGTGTGCTTTTACACAGCTGTGTAGTATTCCACCACAGAGTCATCTTACTTATTCACCCTTCTGCTAATGGCAGGGTGGTGTCCTTTTACACAGCTGCATAGTATTCCGCCAGAGTCATCTTACTTGTCCACTCTCCTGCGAATGGCGGGGTGGTGGCCTTTTACACAGCTGTGTAGTATTCTGCCACGGAGTCATCTTATTTGTCCATCTCCTGCAAATGTCAGGGTGCCGTCCATTTACACAGCTGCATAGTATTCCACCACAGAGTCATCTTATCTATCCATCTCCTGCAAATGGCAGGGTGGCGTCCTTTTACACAGCTGCATACTATTCCGCCATGGAGTCATCTTATTTGTCCATCTTCTGCCCGTGGACACTGAAGCCCCGGGCTCTTATGACTGGGGCTACCGTGGGCACAGGCGTGTAGAAATCCTTTCCAGTGAGAGTTTCCGTGTTCTCTAGATAAACACCCCGGAGTCAGACACCTGGATAAGGTGTTTCTGTGCGTCCACTCCTGGGGGCCCCTCGTAGTGGTTCTCACACCGGCCGCACCGCCTGACGGCCCCATCACAGTCCATAAGTTGTCCTTTTGTCCACCCCGTGGCCACGGCTTATGGCTGTGTCCCTGACAAGGGCTGTCCACACTGGCGCCGCTTTTTTTGGCTGCTCTGGACCAGCCCTGACAAGTGTTCTCAGATGGAGGCTCTGCAAGAGCCGACCGCCTGCTGTCCGGCGCGGAGGACGTGGGCGTCGGGGACGCTTGACCAGCTCACCACGCATGTCCCGCCCCAGGCACCGTGTCCGTGTCTTCCTGCTTCTGGGCTCCTGCCTGCCTGGGTGGTCCTCGGGTGGCTCCCTGCTGCCCCGGGCCTCTCCCGAGCTCCCGCGTCGTTGCGCGTGGCCGAGGGCTCATGTCCAGGCTCTTGTCCGCCCTGGGAGCGGCTCTCAGCGGGCAGCTGTGCCCACTCTTGCCCTAGTCCTGTCACCAGCCAGCTCAGCCGTCCCGGGGCCGGGTCCACGCTGTGGCCTGTTCCTGCGGCCGCAAGAGCCTGAGGTACAAGGACACTCTTGGGATGGACAGCAGTGCTGGACACTCCTGGGATGGACGCTGGTGCTGCTCCATTGCATGCTCACTCAGGGCCCCCCACTCAGGGGTGATGCGGGCCCAGCCCCCGCTTTATGCTGAGCTGGGAGGGGGTGCCCTGGCCACGTGGCCGAGGCTCCAAGCATGCAGGATGCTGACCTCATGTGTCCCCCACAGTGGAGTTCCTCTACTGCGACCTGGCGTCCATGAGGTCCATCCGGCAGTTTGTGCAGAAGTTCAAGAAGAAGGGGCTGCCCTTGCACGTGCTGGTCAACAACGGTGAGTGGCCAAGCGCCTGGCACCCTCCTGCTGGACGCGCTGACCCTGGCTGGGACACTGCAGTGTCCAGGCGTGACGCTTCACACCTGAGTCCGCAGGATGTCCCTGCCTCACCCATGGACCTGGTTTCCCCGCCCACCCCCATCCATTCCCTGCCTTTTGTGTCCAGTGTCCATCCAGAAAATCCTTGTGGATGTCCAAGGTCTCGGATTAAAGGTCCAGGGGACGGTCTTGTGGGCAATTTGGGGACATTCTGTGTCCTACATGGGGTTGAGGATGTGCACATCTTGGGGATGTCATCCCTACCCCCGCACGGCGCTGCAGATGTGGTCACTCGGGGACACTTGGGGGGGCAGCCTGCTGAGGACACCTCAGGCATCTGCCTTCCCGACCCCTCTAATTCTCCCCGAACTCTCCGTCCAGCGGGGGTCATGATGGTGCCTGAGAGGAAAACCAGGGACGGCTTCGAAGAGCACTTCGGCCTCAACTACCTGGGCCACTTCCTGCTGACCAACCTGCTGCTGGACACCCTCAAGGCGTCGGGCTCGCCAGGCCGCAGCGCCAGGGTGGTGTCGGTGTCCTCGGCCACGCACTACGTGGGCGAGCTGAACATGGCCGACCTGCAGGGCAGGTGCGTTGGCGCGCGCGGCCTGTGGGGGTCCCAGGCCTGGGGCAGTGGCCTGGACGTGGACACAAGCACAGGCAGAGCAGAGGGGCCCATGGAGAGCAGAGTAGGGCCCGGGGGGCATCTGCCCTTGCTGCCCACTGACCGTGTCCCCTCTTTGCCCGCAGCCTCGACTACTCCTCGCACGGTGCCTACGCGCAGAGCAAGCTGGCCCTGGTCTTCTTCAGCTACCACCTGCAGAGGCTGCTGGCCGCGCAGGGCAGCCCGGTCACCGCCAACGTGGCCGACCCGGGCGTGGTGGACACGGAGCTCTACAAGCATGTGTTCTGGGGCAGCAGCATCCTCAAGAAGATGCTCGCCTGGTGGGTGTTCAAGGTGAGCCGCGGCTGTGCCTGGGGTCTCACGCACGCGTGTTTATTTATTTATTCATCGTTCTTTGGCGCCAAGTTTTCTTTTATGGCACCGCACGGGCAGCGCTGGACAGTTGAGCTGGCCGCTGCGGAAGGTGTCGGTAGGAACGTCTTTCACAGTTTGCAATCCCGGAGCTCCCTTCCGAGCGCGGAGCCCCATGTTGATTTTCACGGGGCTCTGAGATTCCAGACCTGGATTTAGCTGTGTGACAGAGTATTTGGGTTTTCCGTAAGCGACAAGCCCCCGTTCCGACAGGTGCCATGTAGGGAGACGTCCGAGTCTTTTTCAGTTTTCAAAAAAGTCGCAGTTTCTGGCTTTTGTGGCCGACTGGAATACTACGCAGCACTGAAAAAGGAGGATGTCTGGAATACTACGCAGCACCGAGAAGGGAGGGTGTCTGGAATACTACGCGGCACTGAAAAAGGAGGGACTCCTTGCCATTTGCAAGGCAAGGGTGGGGCTGGAGGGGATGCCACAAGGCAGGGGAGCGACACATAGATGGTTTCACTCAGAAGTGGGGGGAAAAGAAAGCAAATCAAATCAAAACAGACCCTAGAAATCTGACTGCAGAGCACCAGAGGGCAGAGGGGTGGGAGAAAGGGAGGAGGGAGCCCGGGGTCTCGGGGAAAGGCCCACGGGGCTTTGGCGGGGGGTGAGCCTTCCTGACAATGCACCTGAGCTGGCCTGAACCTGCTCCCTAAATCGTGACGTGCTGAGGGAAGCACGTGGCATGACGAAACGTTCAGGGTGTGCAGTGGTCAGGGCCAGCAGGTGAGCTCCCGGAGGCACAGGGAGGCTGAGACTTTCCGGTATCTTGCTTCGGGGTGATGGCCCCTCTATTGGGGTGTCTGGAGTGGAACCCTGATGTTCCCCGGTGTGTCTGTGGACAGTCCAGCGCCAAGGAGTGGACTTCTCTTCCCAGGGGAGGCACATTTCTGGCTCCCTGGACCCCCTCAACGCCTGTCCTTTCCAGTCTCCGTGCACCAGTATCTTGCTTCGGGGTGATAGCCCCTCTATCGCGGTGTCTGGAGTGGAACCCCGATGTGCAACGGTGTGTCTGTGGACAGTCCAGCGCCAAGGAGTGGACTTCTCATCCCAGGGGAGGCACATTTCTGGCTCCCTAGACCCCCTCAACGCCTGTGCTTTCCAGTCTCCATGCACCAGCATTGGGGGGCCCCCCGGGAACCCAGTTCTCAGAAACAGGGATGATGTCCAGCAGGTGTCCCCAAGAGTCCAGGTCTATCCCTTTTCCCAGATTGACCCACCGCCCTTTTGTGTTCCTTCCGGAGACCACGGAGTGGCCTGAAATTTTATTATTTTTCTATTTATTCATTCCCTGGTTGTGTTTATTGGCCACACACCAGTGAAACCAGCGGCCGTTTCCGTTTGTCCCCCTGATGTATGTCACGAGACATCACCCCTCTCGATGGACGGACACGGCCTGACACCCCAGAGAATACTCAACCGTAAAAATTCCCCGGAAGACGAAATTCCTGCCTTGGTGACAACTGGCTCTTTGCTGTTTTCTGCAGCTTGTCGATTCCCTTTGCTAAATCTGCAGAATTTGTAAAAAAGAAAAAAAAAAAATCAAGAAAAAGCGAGAGAGAAAGAACCAAGAGGCCTTTTTCCCCCACGTTCCTCGTTCATGTTGCAAAATATTTCAATTGTGGAAAGTCCGTATTTTTGCAAATTGGCATAACCGGTCTCTGGCCGGGGGGTTTCCGGAAGGACGCCCCGGGTCGAGGCTTTCCACCTCTTCCGGGGTCAGTTTTGACGCTTTCTGCCCCAGCTAATCGCCGTCCTCGGCGAGCTGTGGGATTAACGCGCGCGGCTGCCAGTTCCCGGTCTCTGGGTCGCCCCTTCCCTCCCCCTGACTGTCTCCGTGCCGTCAGCCGCCCCCCTGGGGTTCCCTGAGATCTCCGTTACCCCCTCACGTTCCCTTTGGGTTTTTCTACCGGAGGCAACGGCTCTTCTCTGCTGCCTCCAAGGAATTTCAGAATCTCCTTCCAGATGATCTCAAGTTTGGTTCTCACCAGCGAGCTGGGGACGGCTCCCTCTTTGGGCGTCAATCCCGCTCTGGCCCCCCGCTGGTGGCCGCGGTGACCCCAGAGGACTCGCAACACTTGTCTGTCTTGCTTCAAATCATCCCGTCCAGCTGCTTCCAGGAACCATTTTTTTATAGATTTATTTATAGATGCAGACAAGAGCTGGGGTGCAGGCCAGAGGTGTGGGGGAGAGAGGAACCCCCAGAGACAGAGTGGGGAGCAGAACAGGTGCATCCACTGAGGCCCACTGCTGAGGGGAGCAGCGGGGAGACAGGAGGGGTCTGCTGTGCCCTGTGGGTAGCTCCCCGGCCAGCCGGGGATGGACCTCGTGCTGCAGAGGCTGCGGACAGCTTCACAGTGCTGTGCTCAACCCCTTGCGCCCCCAGGGACGCCCTCTGGGAACCATTTTTGAAAAACCTTCCGGTCGGGGTCTCCCTGCTGGCCTAGGGTTCCGTCTCAGGCTGTCCCCCGCGGCCAGAGTTCGAGCCCCAGCCAGCGATCTCTGCTCACGCTGTTGTCTTGTGCTTTGGTCTGTTTGCCAGCTGTGCCTCCAGGAGACAGGTGGGCAGGCCCCCAGGTGGGTCGGCAAGATCAAGCCGGGATTCTGAGGAGGCGTGGGGTGGACGGCCGCCTGGCTTGAGCTCCCAAGGCAGGACCTGGACACCTGGTTTCCACCGCTGGACCAGGGCTCCGGGAATTCCAGCACTCACGGCCCCGTCTGTTCTTCCGCCAGTGACGTGGCGCTGGAAGGAGACCCTCGTGCTGGGGATGGAGGCTTTGTCGGGGTGAAGGCCGGCCGCGTCCGGGCAGCTTGAGCAGGGCTGGGCCACGTGCAGTGCAGAGAGGACCCAAGATGCGGGTGGGCAGACGGCCCGTCGGCCCCTCGCACGGGCTCAGAGTTGAGACGTGCTCAGCAGGAGGCGGGTCTGGCTGCTCCTGGCGTGTTCTGAGCTCTGGGCACGAGCTCGGGATGGGCCTGGGGAGCTGGTGGACACTCTCGCTGATGGACTGGCGGGCGGGAGGGGGCCTGGGGGCTCGCCGGAGGCCGTGGAGCTGGTGGGGAGTGGACAGGCAGAAGATGGTTTTGCAAACTCGCCCTGAGACCATCCCGCGTGGCCTGGACCTGTCGACTTTGGGACGTGAAAGGAGATGCATCGGCGAGTTCCGGGACCCCCAAGTCAGGAAATTGGGGTTGCTAAGCAAGAAACGCAGGGAACAGGCCCCCGGCGGGTGGGGTTTGGGGTGGCTGCCCTTGAGGCATGTGGGTAGAATCTACTGACTGACTTGCTGGGGGTTTTGTCTGCAGCTCTGAGGAGGTTGAGGTCGCAGAGACGAGGCAGGCAGGGATGACGGGTCAGATTGGGGGGCTGGACGGCGGGTCTGTGGGGTGCAGGCGCTGAGGAGTGTAAATCCCCAAGCAATTAGCTAATTACAGGCCTTTGCCTCCTGCAACCACGCGTGGCTCCGTTTGCACTTTCACACGCCCCTTCGTGCATTTTCAGCCGGTCCCTCACCCCGAGAGCCAGCCGAGGGGGTGGGGCTGCCTGGAGCTCCCGCCCCAGCACAGCCGCGGGCAGAGAAATCTGAAACTGGGCATCCGGGTGGAGCTGCCTGTCCCTTCCCCCCGGGGGCGCCTGGTGTCCAGAGACTCCCCGACACCCCACAAAGCTGAGTCATCGTGCTCTGGGCTCGCGCTGAGCCGTGCGGGTGTTTTCTGCCTCCCCCGGCTGAGGGGGACACTGGTGTGAAGCTGCAGGGGACTCGGGATCTGCAGCTCCTGGTACCCGGGGACCCACTCAGTCCGGGGAGGGCAGCTCCTGCCAGCGACACCCCCACCGAGGCAAGCTGAGTGCAGGCGGGCGTGTGTGCATGCAAGTGGGAGTGTGTGTGAGTGTGTGTGTGTGCATGTGAGCATTGTGATTGTGTGCATGCAAGTGTGTGGACCAGTGTGCCTTGTGCAGTGGTATATGTGCTTGTGCAAGTGTGTCTGCAAGTATGCGTATGAGTGTGTGCATGCAAGTGTGAGTGTGTGGGAGTCTGTACTGCAAGTGTGTGTGCACTAGTGTGCCTGTGATGTGTGTGCATGATTCTGTGCATGCAAGTGTGAGCTTGTGTGTGTGATTGTGTGTGGCATGTGTGTTCACGCAGGTATACATGTGATTGTGTGCATGCAAGTGTGTGTGATTGTGTGTGCATGTGCTGTGTGTGTGCTTGTGCATGCAAGTGTGAGCGTGTGTGTGATTGTGTGTGTGGGTGCATGTTGTGTGTGCATGTGAGCTTGTGTGATTGTGTGCTGTGTGTGGCATGTGTGTTCACACAATTATGCATGATTGTGTGCATGCACGTGTGAGTTTGTGTGTGGTTGTGCCTGTGTAAATGTGATATGTGTGCATGTGGTGTTTGTGTGTGTGTGCTGCACATGGCCTGCGTGTTCACACGAGTATGCCTATGGTGGTGTACATGCAAGTGTGACGTGTGTGTGATTATGTGTATGCACGTGAGCATGTGTGATTGTGTTTTGCATGTGCCATGTGTGTTCACAACTATGCCTGTGATGGTGTGTGTGCAAATGTGTGCATGTGTGTATGTTGTGCCTATAGCATGTGTCTGTGTGAGTGTGAGTGTGCTGGTGTCCTGTGTGCCTGCAGCATCTGTGCGGGTCCTCATGTGCATGTGTGTATGTGCGTGTGCTTGTGTGCCTGTGCTGAGTGTGAGCACACGTGTGTGGTCTTTCTGGAGACCGGTAGGCAGCACGCGTGGGCGATCGAGCAGGAGGCGTGTCTCCTCCACGGCCCCCGGGAGGGCGGCCTCTCTGCGCCGTGCGCTGAGGGCCACAGCTGCTGCGCGACTCCCTTCCCTCCCTCACGCCGCTCGCCTGGTCCCAAGTGGGGGTCCCCCTTAGAGGGCGACCGGGGCTCCCTGCCTGCCCCGGCCGTGTCCCCTGAAGTCCGGGATTATCGACCTTCAGAGGCGCACGCCAGGGGCCGCCCGGGGCAGCTGAGCGGATTTCCAGGCGTGAGCTGCACGAGATAAGCTCCTGCAAAGCCGCGCGGGCGATAAGAGGCTGAGAGGGATCTCTGGGCTTCTGGATGTTGAGTCCTGACCCCGAAGGCCCTTCGTTCAGATCCCGCCATTTCTAATCCCGTGAGCTTCTCCGCGGGCGCCCAGGTCCGGGCTCATCCTGCTGAGCACCCAGCTGGCTCCAGCCCCGCAAGGGCGGGAGGTCCCTGCAGCGCCGCCTCCCCGGAGCCAGGCTGGTGGCAGGTCACAGCCCGCAGAGCCCCAGCCTCACCCGCAAGCTGCGTCGAAGCCGAGACGCCCCTGTTGCCATGATGCCTCATCTGATTGTTCACGTGGTAACATGGGGGTGCAGCCGGCAGCGGGGTTTGGGTTTCATCATAAAGACTTGGGGAGTTAAGTGTCTGCGTCAGACTTTAATACGCTTGTCGAATGTGTCCCTGGTGGAAGGAGGACCCGCTCGGGCACGTGTGCCAGTGGGGATGTGGGCGTGACCCAGTCGGCCATGTTGGGTGTGAGCCAGTCAGGGATGTGGGTGTGATCCAGTCAGGGATATTGAGTGTGATCCAGTCGGCCATCTTGGGTGTGACCCAGTCAGCCATGATGGGTTTGACCCAGTTGGGAATGTTGGTGTGACCCAGTTGGCCATCTTGAGTGTGACCCAGTTGGGAATGTTGGATGTGTCCCAGTCGGCCCTATTGTGTGTGATCCAGTCAGGGATGTTGGGTGTGACCCAGTTGGCCATCTAGGGTGTGACCCAGTTGGGAATGTTGGATGTGGTGCAGTCGGCCCTATTGTGTGTGATCCAGTCAGGGATGTTGGGTGTGACCCAGTTGGCCATCTTGGGTGTGGCCCAGTCAGCCATGTTGGGTGTGATCCAGTCAGGATGTTGGATGTGATCCAGTCAGGGATGTGGATATGATCCAGTCAGACATGTAGAGTGTGATCCAGTTGGCCATCTTGGGTGTGACCCAGTTGGGAATGTTGGGTGTGGCCCAGTAAGCCATATTGTGTGTGATCCAGTCAGGGATGTTGGGTGTGACCCAGTTGGGAATCTTGGGTGTGGCCCAGTCAGCCATGTTGGGTGTGAGCCAGTCAGCCACTTTGGATGTGATCCAGTCAGGGATGTGGATATGATCCAGTCAGCCATGTAGAGTGTGATCCAGTTGGCCATCTTGGGTGTGACCTGTTAGGAATGTTGGGTGTGACAAAGTCGCCCCTATTGTGTGTGATCCAGTCAGGGATGTTGGGTGTGACCCAGTTGGGAATGTTGGGTGTGGCCCAATCAGCCATATTGGGTATGACCCAGTCGGCCATGTTGGGTGTGAGCCAGTCAGGGATGTTGTGTGTGATCCAGTCAGGGATGTGGATATGATCCAGTCCGCCATGTAGAGTGTGAGCCAGTCGGCCACCTTGGGTGTGACTCAGTTGGGAATGTTGGGTGTGGCCCAGTTAGCCATATTGTGTGTGATCCAGTCAGGGATGTTGGGTGTGATCCAGTCAGGGAAGTGGGTATGATCCAATCAGGAATATGGGTATGATCCAGTCAGGGATGTTGGGTGTGACCCAGTTGGGAATGTTAGATGTGGCCCAGTCAGCCCTATTGTGTGTGATCCAGTCAGGGATATTGAGTGTGATCCAGTCGGCCATCTTGGGTGTGACCCAGTCAGCCATGTTGGGTGTGACCCAATCAGCCATGTTGGGTGTGATCCAGTCCGGATATTGGATGTGATCCAGTCAGGGATGTGGATATGATCCAGTCAGCCATGTAGGGTGTGATCCAGTCAGCCATATTGGGTGTGACCCAGTTGGGAATGTTGGGTATGGCCAAGCAGGCCAGGTTGTTTGTGACCCAGTGAGGGATGTTAGGTGTGATCCAGTCAGGGATGTTGGGTGTGATCCAGTCAGGGATGTTGGGTGTGATCCCCAGATGGGAATGTTGGGTGTGGCCCAGTCGGCCATATTGTGTGTGGTCCAGTCAAGATGTTGGATGTGATCCAGTCAGGGATATGAATATGATCCAGTCAGCCACGTAGAGTATGATCCAGTCGGCCAGCTTGGGTGTGGCCCAGTTGGGAATGTTGTGTGTGACCCAGTCAGCCATATTGGGTGTTATCCAGTCGGCCATGTTGGTTGTGATCCAGTCGGCCATGTTGGTCGTGATCCAGTCGGCCATGTTGGTTATGATCCAGTCGGCCATGTTGGTTGTGATCCAGTTGGCCATGTTGGTTGTGATCCAGTCAGCCATCCTTCCTGCCCACCCCCTAAATGCACCATGAAGGGGCCATGCTGTCTCCCCGACAGCACCTGTGTGCCTGCAACAGCCCTATGACCTCTGCACACTGACCCGTCTCCCCTTCCCCCTGCAGACCCCGGATGAAGGCGCCTGGACCTCCATCTATGCAGCAGTCACCCCCACTCTGGAAGGGGTCGGCGGCCGCTATCTGTACAACGAGAAGGAGACCAAGTCCCAGAAGACCACGTATGACCTGAAGCTGCAGCGAGAGCTGTGGGCCAGGAGCTGCCAGATGACGGGCATCCGTGACGTGACCAAGGACATCCTCTCAGAGTAGCCGCCGTGCCCGGACGGCCTTGCGTCCCCGCCGCCACTCACAGGTCTGTGGAGGACCCCGCGTCCAGTGTTCATGTCCGCCTGCCTCGGGGCTCTGTCCCAGCCCCTGGCGGGAGGTCCAAGGGCAAGAGGTGTCCCTTGCGATGCATCCCGTAGCTCGTAGTGTTCTACGGGTGCCACGAATGATTAAATCCTGCCGTCTGAGTGTGTGGCGTCCCTTCCTTAGGGCCGATGCGTAGGTGCGGGTAGAAACCTTCTGGAAGCGAGTCCTGTCCCTGGGCCATCGTCCACCACCACATGTGGGCCCTGGTCATTGTGAGGGTCCTGGGCCCTTGGTGCTCACACGCACTCATCACGCTGGAGAGCCGGCTTTGGCAGGGGTCCCACATGGAGCCTCCCAGCAGCAGCCACCACCACACCCGACACCCAACTCCACCCTGTTCACTCAGGCCACCCCATGGGCACTGCCGTCAGCCTCCAGGTCTCTCACCAGGCACTGGACAGTCTGTAGGGGAGAGAATGAACAGTTCAGAAACACCACTGCCCGTGGGAATCTGTGCACAGGGACAACGTTGGGCCAGAGACACCAGGGGTCTGTGGGACAGGAGACTGGGCTGGACATCACTTGTCTGGGGTCTACGAGACAGAGACAGGGAGACAGGGCTGAACATCGTCCATCTGGGGTGTATGGGACAGAGACAAGGAGATGGAGCAGCTGGACATCCCCTATCTGGGGTCTGCGGGACAGGGACAAGGAGACAGGGCTGGACATCACCCATCTGGGGTCTACGGGACAGAGACGAGGAGATGGAGCAGCTGGACATCCCCCATCTGGGGTCTACGGGACAAAGACAAGGAGACAGGGCTGGACATCACCCATCTGGGGTCTACGGGACAGAGACAAGGAGACCGGGCTGGACATCACTCATCTGGGGACTATGGGACAGAGACAAGAATGGGTTGTACATCACCCATCTGGGGTCTACGGGACAGAGACAAGGAGATGGGGTGGCTGGACATCCCCTCTCTGGTGTCTACAGGACAGAGACAAGGAGACCAGGCTGGACATCACCCATCTGTGGTCTACAGGACAGAGACAAGAACGGGCTGGACATCATCCATTTGGGGTCTACGGGACAGAGACAAGGAGACAGGACTGGGCACCACTCACCACGGAACTTTATAGACAGGGAGAAGTAAGGCGCGAACATCAGTCACCATGGAGTTGTTGGGACCAGGAAAGTGACCAGACGGTGCTCACCTGGCTATGGCTGGTGACTGAACAGGGCCTCGCCCCAGGCAGAGCCTCACGGGACCATCTCTGCCCATTCATTTGCTCCTCTCTCGGACACACACCGCAGGTCTGGGTAAATTCCAGACGGGCCACTGGGATGTTCTTCTCCGTATTGTTCCTAAACGCCTGCCCGTCTCCTCGCCTGAGCTCAGCACTCACTGCCCACCAGTGCGCGCGGAGCTGCGTCTCCTGGCGGCCCCTCCTGCGTCTTCAGGCACAAGACTCTGGCCCCCAGGAGCATGAAGGTCACACCCCATGGCGTGGAAGGGGTGACCGGCTGGACTTCCCTGTGGGTATCATTCACGTGGCGCCTCTGTTTGGTTGAACATGGCCCCCCAAAGATGTGAGCACGTGCTAATCGATCTCAGGAGATGGTGGCCGTCACCCTATTTGGAAAAAGGATTTGTGCAGATGGAGTGAGACATGATGATGAGGCCATCATTGACTTACCCAGGTGGAAGCGTGATATAAAGGCAAGTTGTTCTTTTTAAATTAAAAACAGACACAAGAGATCTGACTCCAGACTGGAAGGGGGCCTTGTAACCATGGACACAGACAGTGTAGCAGCCACCAGCCCAATGACATGGGGACCCCCCAGAAGAGGCGGAGAGGAGCCATCCCTGGAGGCTGCAGAAGGATCTGGAAAATTAAGTGGAGTGGCTGGTGGCTGCACAAAAGATGTTTCCACCTCCTGGTGCGGAATCTGAGGAGCCCGTCCTGGGTCAGGGCCTTGCACCCCAAGACAGCGTCTTCGGAAGGGGCAGAAGAGGAAACACAGACAGAGATGGGGGTACGGGAGGAGCATGTTCCTGGGACTCCCTCACGTCAGATTTGGGGGCTTCAGCCTGTGGGGGGCCATGCGTCCCTGTCATCTTCCAACACCGACAAACCGACAATTATGTGTTCTGGGAAAGACACAGTCTCCAGCGAACATCTCCAGCGGCGTGGATGTCCCGGTCCCAGGAATCAGAGCCCGTCCTTGGTCGCCAACCAGCAGGCAAGGAAGGCTCAACCCCCCGTCTGGAAGCGGCGCTTGAGTCCGCAGATTCCAGCACCCACAGACTAGCCATTTGGGATTGTCTCCTGCCCGACGTGCACCAGGATCCTCTGAGTTACCCCTCATTCCTCAGCCGAGAAGATCCCGCAAGGACCCCCGCTCCATGCCGCACACACGGCCTGCGGCGGGTTCTCCCAGCGTGAGCTCCAACCAGCTGCAGCGGTGGCGTCTAAACGCAGCTCGCTGCTTCTCCGATGGCTCCGATTGCTGTTATTAAGCAATTTAATAATCAGCCGCCCGGCCGTGGAGTGTGGCTCTATGGCCACTTAATAAAATGAAGGAATGTCGTTGAGAAAACCCATAATGGCTTCTCCTGCGGTATCCGCCTCTGGGCACGTCTCTGCTCTCCATCCGCCCTGAACCCAGCAGCTCTGCCTGTCACAGAAGGAGCTGCCTGCTTCTCCCGTGGGGATGGGGTGATCTGGGTTTCTAAATCGGGTCGATGGACCCTGCCATGGTCCTCATTGACCAGTAGCTGCCCCTGGAGACCCACAGCTGCGTGTGCGGGAGCTCAGCCCCGTCCCAGGTCACCTGAGGGCAGTGTCCTCCTGTGTCCTCTCACTCCACACAAAAACGTGGTGTTCCTGAGCCGTTCTGGCTGCGATTCAGCTCTGGAGAATCTTGTTCTGCTGAAGAAGTACGGCCGGACCCTTCACCATCAGTATCAGCTCATTTCGTGTCACCTGTTCATCCGTCTGTGTGTCCTAAAAGGGTGTCACACCCCGCCAGGCCAGGGGCTGTTAGGATGGGGTTGACAGGTGTCAGGCAGACAGGGGATGAGTGACAGATGGTCAATGACCGTAGACATACAGGGGGACACATAAACGTGGACATACACGTCGTGATCGTGGACTGTGGGAGACCAGCTCTCGTGAGCAGGGCTGAGGAGCGGAATCTGACAGACCCAAGAAACAAAGAAATGAGACACGGGACTCCCTGGGGGCGCGAGGGGTTAAGACACAGCTGTGTGAGGCTGTCCGCAGCCGCTGCAGCACGAGTTCGATCCCTGGGTGGCCAGGGCGCTGCCCACAGGGCGCAGCAGACCTCTCCGGTCTCCCGGCTGCTCCCCTCGGCAGTGGATCTCAGTGGATCCGCCTGTTCTGCTCCCCACTCTGTCTCTGGGGAGTCTTCCCACCGCCCCCCACATCTCTGGCCTGCACCCCAGCTCTTGCCTGCATCGATAAATAAATCTTTAAAGAAAAAATGACAGACACAAAATAGAGCTTAAGAGAAGCAGGACCCAGGGGGCGCGAGGCCTCTCATTGGGGCTCACGCATCCCGAGTGAGGGTGCAGCTCATATCAGGGGTCTCCAAACTAGACAGACACTCCCAGACACTTGTGGATATTTGGGGACGGCTCCGTGGGGGGACTTGGAAGACAGGGGACTGGTAGGTGCCTACACGGTGCTCGACAGAGACGTCAGATAACTTATCTCTCGTTGATGATTAAGAAACCCTCATTCTAGACAAGTTCTGTCTCTAACGATAAGTTCTGTGTCTCATGGAGATAAATCGAGATAAGTGACATCTGAGTTAGATGTGACAGACGGAAAGTGACAGCTACCGGGGCAAGGTGAGGTTAGAGGCAGACAGACGGACACATACGTGACCAGCAAATGCCCAAAGGGCAAAGAAGCATCGTCTCTGCACCGTGGGATCCGTGACGGCTCAGCTCCGCCCATTCGGCCCGAAGCTGCCCCGGAAGGGCTGCCACGGGGCCGTGGGGCTTCGTCCTGGGAAACCTTTATTTGCAAAAACCAGGCAGTGGCCGCGTGTGGTGTGGTCAGCTGGGAAGCTGTGGTTGCGCCCCTGCAGGGTGGCGGCTTCCGGGACCCTCGTGGACGGGGGATGCACCCCCAGGAGGATGCTCCGGGCTCCCGCAGGCCCCCGAGGCGTGTCTCACGGAGAACGTGTCTCTTTGCAGATGGACAGGGCGGTGCAGGTTGTGCGTCTCGGCGGCCTGAAGGACGGGGGCCCCTTCTGCAGAGCTGCAGGCGGCGGGAGGAGCTGCTGAAATGGTGGACGCACGCAGAGCCGAGTCTGGACATGGCCGGCGGGACAGTGGACACAGCCCGAAGGCTGCACATGGCTGCTTCCCTGCACCCCGGGGGTGCCCTGGGGAGGTGGTGCTGGAGTGCTCGAACCCACAAGACCGTCGTGGGTCCTCAGCGGCCCCTCTGTTCTCTCCGCATGATCTAGGGGATCTTACAAGGACAGGCGAGTGGAGTCCACTTGCTGGTGCCCAGCCCGAGAGACCTGGAGGGCAGGAAACATGGGTTCCTTTCCTGGGGACGCAGAAACCTGGCATCTTCACCCAGGGCGGGTGGCATGGACCATGTCTGCTGCCTCACGCCCCGCCCTGGCTGTCTGGGGGCCGCCCTCGGTGACCCCAGAGCCACATCTCTCGTCTCAGGACCTGAAAGGCGGCAGCATCTTCCTCCATCTTCCTCCAGGCCTCCAAGCTGCCCACTCGAAGCTGCCCGTCTCCTGCAAAGACAGCTGGTCCCCACCTCCTGCCCCCCAGATTCTGGGCCTGCTTCCGCTGAGGACAGACCTCCCCAAGCTTGGAAACAGTCAAGACCCCCAGCTCAGCCAGGGCCGCCAGCCGCATGACCCCCACGTCCTGCACAGTCCTTGAGTCCAGCGGGGCGGCCTCAGCACCAGGCCCCCTCCCCACATTCACCCCAGTGTCCTCAGACGGCCAGGCCCACACGCCAGAAGAGCAGGAGTCGGCTGTAGGGGACAGTGACAGCTGCGTCCGTGCACAGGGGCCCGGCTTGGCCACCACCGTCCACTCCCAGGACAGGCTCATTGTCCTGCGAGCTGCTGGCCCAGCGGGACCTTCAGCAAGTCCACCAGGGCTGACCAGTGCCACGAAGGCAAGCGAGACCTAGGAAGAGCCCGTCCATGGCACGCGATGGACCCCACAGCCCTCGTCGCCGCGGGGGAGTGACTGCACTGTCCTGGAGGGGCCACAGTCCTCATGCTGGACACCTCTGGAGCGCCGCCAGGTGAGCAAGGCTGGACCCGGGCGTGGGCCCGCTGGGGGCTGTGGGGTGGAGCCTGCCGCTGATGCTTGGGGCAGGGAGGGTCTCTGTGCAGAGATGAGCTGCGTCCCCGCAGGGCTAGACTCCGGGGCTGCCTGGTGCTGGGTCCAGGAGCTCCTGGTCCCAAAGATGCTGGGTCCTGCTCTTGGGGGCCTTGGGGTGCTGCTGGGTGATCACAGGACTCTCAGCCGGGCATTGGGGTCCTCCAGGCTGGGCGATCTCTGCAGCACACGCGACCTTTACGCTCCTGTTGCGAATGCAGCCGCAATTCGGGGGCTTCTGCGTCGTGCGGACGTGGGCGGGGTTGTCCTCACCGTGGCGATTAGGGGATACAGCGCGTGGGCAGCTTGGAAGTCTGGGTTGGGGACGCGTCGACCAGGGGCACAGGGCTAGTGAGCGTCTGGCCATCTTGGGCACTGCGGTGCCTGATCCTCATGATGTCGTCCACTGAGGGATCGTCTTAACACGCATCCTGTGTGTGCCTGAGAAGACAGGAGGCTGGGCGTGCGCCGAGCACCCTTAGGGACACACACAAACACACACGTACCCTCACACACACACACACACACACATGAGGTGGGTGAGATCCTCCCTGGTTCTGCTTCCAAGCTCTGCTGTCATGTGTCATTGAAGTGGAGGAAACCCTGCGGCTGGTCTTCCGTTGTCCACACGGCCACCTCCTAGGACCGGCTTCACATCTGTAGCCGGTTCACCGAAGGCCACAGTGACACAGGCGGGAACCCGGACATGCATCACGGTTGGTTCCCATGAAGCCCCACAGGACAGAGGGGAATTCTGTGTGGAGGGAGAGCTTGGAACC